TAGACATTCTGAATATATATGCTGTGGTGACTCCTTTTTGCATTGTATTTGCCTTGGGATAGGAAGTTCTCCACAATTGTTTCCTTAAATTATTTTCTAAATTTTTTGATTGCTCTTCCTTCCTCGTGAATACCAACAATGCATAAGTTCTATAGCTTTATGTAGTCCCAGACATCTCAAAGCTTTGTTCATTCTCTTCTATTCTTTTATCTTTATTTTTATCTGACTGGGTTATTTCAAAAGACCTTTCTTCAAGTTCTGAGATTTTTTTCTTCTATTTAGCCTATGATTGAAGTTTTGAATGTATTCACTATTTCCTTCAATGATTTTTTTTTTGTTCTAGAATTTCTGCTTGGTTTTATTTTATTTTATTTTATTTTTCATGGCCAAAGCCTTTTAGTAAAGAGAGTAATTTTATTTTGATAAAAAGTATATTTCAAAATAAAAACGTAATGTTAATAAATCCTAAAGCATCAAGTAACGTGAAAAGCATAGTAAAACTTGTGAGTCATGTAAGAGAAAAATGACTTGTACATCTATAAAACCAAAGAGATTCCATTATAAAGCTACTCGAATTGATAAAAACAGAGTTCAACAAAATGGTAGGATGAGATAAATATACAAAAATCAATAGCTAGCCTGTATAATAACAATAATATATTAAAATTATGATGAAAAAAGAAATAGCATGGAAAATATAATAATGGTAGGGAGCACAGTGGGATCAATATTTGATCAAATAAGTATAAAATTTATTTAGAAGAATAAAACATATAGAATAACACACATGTGCACACATACAGGCATACACGTTAAAGGCAAGAATAATGAGGACTAATTAGCCCTACCAGATCTTAGATGATCTTATGCTTGAATAATTAAAGCAGTGTGGTATTGATGCAAAAACAGACAGATAAATGAACAAAATAAATAACCTTGAAATTGATCCTGGGCTCAAGCAATCTTCTTCCTGCTTCACCCTCCTGAACAGCTAGGACTACAGGCTTGCACCACCATGCCAGGCTTTTTTTTTTTTTTTTTATTGTAGAGACAAGGTCTTGCTATGTTGCCCAGCCTGTGTCTCCAAAACTGCTGGTATTACAGGCATGAGCCACTGTTCCCAGCCCTTCAATGTATCTTTTTTTTTTTTTTTTTTTTGAGACAGAGTCCTGCCCTGTTGCCCAGGCTGGCATTCAGTGTCATGATCTTGGCTCACTGCAACTTCCACTTCCCAGGTTCAAGCAATTTCCTGCCTCAGCCTCCCGAGTAGCTGGGACTACAGACATGCGCCACCACACTTGGCTAATTTTTGCATTTTTAGTAGAGGTGGGGTTTTGCCGTGTTGGCCAGGCTGGTCTCGAACTCCTGGCCTCAAATGATCCACCCGTGTTGGCCTCCCAAAGTGCTGGGATTATAGGCATGTGCCCAGCCCAATGTGTCTTTTAATTCTGTTATTGCATTTTAGGTTTTCTTGCATTGTTTTATTTTGGTGATCTTTATTTACATTCATGATTTTATCTCAAATTGGTATTCTCATATAATTTCCTGAACCTGTTTTATAGCATGATAATATAATCGTCTACTCTACTGAAGTTGCCAGTTTTGAAAATAATTTTTTTAGAGTTATATTTCATAATTTTGGAGGTATAATTTCCTTCTTTCTTTATCACATTTTTTTTTTTCTGTTTTATAGTCACCCTCACATTGGATTTTTGTGTGTGTGGGTAATTCCTCTGTAATTCTGGTACTTGATTGTCATTTATAATTTTGGTGTTTTTGTGAATGTTTTAATCTTCCTACATATTTTGGTGAAAAGTGTGGAGAGACACTGCTAGACACTGTTGATTTTGTATTTATATTTAAGAACTTTTCCACTGTCCAGCCGTGGCTGACTGAGCCAATCCATTCTGTGTTTAGCAGTGTCTGATTAAGGTTTAGATACTGTTAAGTGGTTGTCTCAGATGTTACAGACTGAAGGGAGAATTTTATCACCATATGATATAGCTGGAGAGGTCTACAGTCATTGTTACTATTTTCAGCAGTGCAACTTAAGAAGGATACTGTGTCCCTTCACGATTGTAAATATGGTATACAGAGTTTTGGTGTCTTAATAGCCAAAATAATACCATTAAGTACAGAAACATTTGAGCTGAGTTTAAGCTTGACATTGGAAGTTTTGTTAAATTACTGAATATAATCCCATCTCCAGCCTACTCTAGACTATTCTTAAGAAATAATGTGTTTTAGTTTTCCAGGACAAAGCTGGTTTAGTCTGATTGTTTCAATGTAATTACTAATAGCAACTCTGTTGTTTTCAAGATTATCAAGATTTAGATGATAAATTATGTGGTCACTTTACTTTGAAGGATTTTATTTCTGATCTTCTTACAATCATATTACCCATGTGATGTAGATGCTTTCATGAATGAAATACTTCCTTACCTTATGCTTCCATTACCATCTCTTGAAGATACCGCTGTCTCATCTTTATACCACAAAGAAAACTTCTGTTTTCAAAGATGTTTTTGTTAGGATTCATTCCCAATTCGTGTCCCAGATATTGAGGACAATTTCCAAAGCCTTGCATGTTTTCATTATCTGTCTGCTGCCACCACTGTATTAGTCAGGTTTTCCCCCAGAAACAGAACCAATAGGATCTGTCTGTCTATCTGTCTATCTCTTTATCAATGTATAGATACATGTGAGGATGTTTATTATGAGAATTGGCTCACACAATTATGGATGCTGAGAAGTCCCATGATATGCCATCTGGGAAAGGTAATAGTGTAATTCAGTCTGAATCTGAAGGCCTGAGAACCAGAGGTGCTGATGGTATAACTCCCACTCCAAGGTCAAAAGCTTAAGATCTGGGAGGCCATTGGTTTGAGTCCTGGAATCTGAAGGCCCAGCAATCAGGAGCTCCAATTCCAAGGGCAGGAGAAGATGGATATCCCAGCCAAGAAGAAAGAGAGAACTTATTGTTGCTCTGCCTTTTTGTTCTCTTCAGGCCCTAAGTGATTTGGATGACACCTGTCTACATTGGTAAGGGTGGATCTTCTTTAGCCCATCTACTGATTCAGATACTTATATTTTCTAGAAACACTCTTTATAGACATACTGAGAAATAATGTTTTACTGGCTATCTGGTCATCTTTTAGCCCCATCAACTTGACACATAAAATTAACCATCACAAGCACCATTGTACTTAACAGAGCTGGTCAATCTTAGATCTCACAAATTCAAATGTTCACTCAATTTATGTGTGTTTAATCTCTCACCTTTCCCTATGGAATTCAGTTTGTGAATGTACTGTCTTCTGTGTATGCTTCATCCCATATTCTGAGATACTTTTTGACTCTTGGCTAACTCTCACTCTCATGATCTCAGTTTCAGTTACAGCTTTAGATAAAAGTCCGTGTCCTTTTTCTAACATTGGACCCATAGAGTCCCATCTACTTGCTGTGGCTAGTTTTAGCTACCCATTCTGGATTTTTTTTTTTTTCTCTCAAATAGACAAATTCAGACAAAGGAAATATGAGATTTAATGAAGAATTATTGTATAAATAGATTTGTATTTTAATAGAACTAACCCATTCCTACCTAACTCAACCCAAGCCTTCTCTTACTTGGGCAGCAATTTAGATAATAGACTGAAGAGGCAAATTTGTAGTTAGGAATAGCTGCAATGATAGTAAAGATGTACTATGGGAGTGGGAGTGGTTCAGAACTGTAATTTTTTTAGGCTATCGAATTGACAAGTCTTGATTAAACTGATCTGTTAAATCAGTGTTTCTCAACCTCTGCACTGTTGATATTTTGGCCCAGATTATTCCTGTTGTGAGAGGCTTACCTATGTATTGCAGGATGTTTAACAGCATGCCTGTTCTCCATCCACTAGATGCCAGTAGCGGCCCTCAGCTGTAAGAAAGAAAAACATAATTGAGCACTGCCAAATGTTCCCCTGGGGGGAAAAACACCTCCAGTTGAGAACTACTGTGTTAAATAAATGGCATATGCTTTGTCTTGCAAACTGTTACAGGGTTAGCAATAATTATTTCTATGATAATAAGTTTAAAAAGTAGATGTTTTTCATAATAATAAAATGTTTTTTGCCTGAGGATTGCAAGGTTGGTTTAACACTTGAAAATTAATTAGTGTAATTCACTACATTAACAGAAATTGGCATACTTTCAAATAGTTGATGAGAATTCGCAATCTCTCTTCTGAATGTTTGTGTCGTACATCATGTTGTTCTTCTGTTTTATTTTCTCATCAAGTTTTCAGCATCCCCTACATATCAGGAATATTGATTTTGTTAACTTTTTCCTGCCATATAGATTGTAAGTATCTTTCCTAGACTCTTACTACATTTTGTTACACAATTAAAAATATTGTGTTATTACATGTACCCATATTTCTTTTGTGAATTCAGGAATTCCTTTTTTATTTAAAGGAATCTTGTCCTTCCAAATGCTTTATAAAAATTATCCTATACATTCTGAAATTTTATTTTGTTTCACAGTTGGATCTTTATTGCAGTTGGATTTTATTTTTGTATTTGATATGTGATAGGGTATATAACCTGATTATGTGAGCTTCATTTATTAAAACATATTTACTATAATGAATATAAATGCCATTTTTAAATATCTTTTCATTTTTATGTATTTCTATTTTAGATTTCTATTCTGTTTTATTGATACAGTTATCTATCATTGCACAAATACTTTGTTTTTAATACTTAAGTAAGTTTTAATGTCTTTATTTTCACTCTTCTATAACCTGCTTCTCCCTTAGTTGCCTTACCTGAATAAATACTATTAATAACTCTGTCAGATACTGCTTTAGTCCATCTGTGTTGACATAAGGAAATACTTGAGGCTAGGTTATTTATAAGGAAAAGAGGTCTTATTTTGTCTCATGGTTCTGTAGGCAGTACAAGAAACACGGTGCTGGCATCTGCTTCTGGCGAGGGCCTCAGGGAGCTTCTACTCGTGGAGGAAGGTGAAGTGGGAGCAGATATGTCATACGGTGAGTGTGGGAATGAGAGGGTAATGGGAGAGGTGCTACACACTTGAACAACCAGATTTCACCCGAACTGAGTGAGAACTCACTTCTCCCCAAGGGGATGGTGCTAAACTATTCATGAGGGATCCTCCCGTATAATCCGAACATCTCCCAACAGGTGCCCCACTTTCAACACTGAGGATTACATTTCAGCATGAGATGTAGAGGGGACCAGTATCCAAACCATATCAGTTATTCAATTGGAAAACCTTAAGAGTTTTTCTTGACTGCTTACTTTCTCTCACAATCCTTATTCAAGGCACTAGAACATTGTTTTCTTTCTTTTATCAAAATATGTAAAAAATACCACCACTTATCACCACCTCCACCACTTTCACATTTACCGTCTTAGTTTATTCTATTATCTTTTTTGTTGTCTTGGACTATTACAATAGTTGCTTGATTCCCCCTTTTCTAATCTTGATCACATAGCAGCCAGAGTGATCTTCTTAAAATATAAAACACATTCTCATTCTCTCCAACTACTTTCCAAAGAGCTGCAGGCTTAGCATACACATTGTCTGCCTTCCAAGTTGTAGCAGTCAACAGTTCTACCAAATGGCATGTTGTTTTTATCTGTTCCTTTGCCTTTTAACAATCAAATGCTAAACCAATGCCACTAATTTTAAATTTATTGATTTAGGTAAGGGTATTCTCAGTGCTTCAAAAGCAGTGTCAAAATCGCAATGCCTTAATATAACTGAAGTTTATGTCTCTCTCATCTAATAGTTTAATGAGAGTCAGTGCATAAGTTTCTTATCCATAGAGTCATCTGGTTACCTAGACTCCTTCTATCTAGTGGCTGCATTCCATAAGGCTTAGGAGTCCTCCGTTGCATCTTCCCAACTACTTGGAATGAAAATTTGTGGAGCAGGTTTTAGAGGACAGACCTGGGTGTGCGTGTGTGTGTGTGTGTGTGTGTGTGTGTGTGTGTGTGTGTGTTGATTACTTTTTCATATACTTACTGGCCATTTGTATGTCTACTTTTATGAAAAAGTCTATTTTGGTCATTTGCCCATTTTTAATTGGATTATTTGGGGTTTGGTGTTGAATTGCTTGAGTTCATTATATTTTGTTTTTATATTAATTCCTTATCAAATTTATGGTTTCTGTCAATCCATAGATTGCCTTTTCATTTCATTGACTTTTTGCTTTGCTTTGCACAATTTTTTTTTTTTTTTTTTAGTTCTTCACTACTCTACAGAGGTTCTACTTGTTTATTTTTGCTTTTGTTGCCTGTGATTTTGGTGTCATACCCAGAAAATCAAGAATTATGTCAAGGAGCTTTTCCCCTATGTTTCCTTCCAGACGTTTTATGGTATTATGCTTAAAATTTTAATTCATTGAATTGATTTTTGTGTATGTGTCAAATAAGTGTCCAATTTTATTTTTTGCATGTGGATATCCAATTTTCTCAACCTGATTTATTTAAGGAATTATGTTTTCTTCATTGTGTATTGTTGGCACCCTTGTCAAAGATTAATTGACCATATATGCCTAGGTTTATTACTGGGCTCTTCAACCTATTTGTTTGACCTATGTGTCTGTTTTATTATTATTATTATTTTTATTTTATGTGTCTGTTTATATGCCATTACCATACTGTTTAAATTTTATTATTTGTTTTATTATACATTGAAATTTATAGCTGTATTTATTATGGGTTATGAAGCAATGTTACGATTTACGATTTATGAGTATAATGTGGAATACTTAAAGCTAATTAACACATCTATCAGCTCAAATATGAACTTTTTTATAGTGAGAACATTTGAAATTTACTCTCATAGCAATTTTCAAATGTGCAATATGCTATTTTATTCACCGTGCTGTACAATAGATATCAAAGAAACCTTTATTCCTCATGAATAACAGATTTTATACTTTTTGACATCATCTCCTTATTACCCCCACCTGCAGCCTCTGCAGCCACCATTCTGCTCTCTTCTTCTATGAGTTCGGTTGTTTTATCTTCCACATGTAAGTGAGAACTTGTGGTATTTGTCTTTCTGTGCTTGGCTTATTTCACTTAGCATAGTGTTCTACAATTCTATCCATGTCATTGCAAGTGACAGAATTCCAGTTTTAAAGGCTGCATAGTATTCTACTCTGTCTGTTTACTACATTTTCTTTATCCATTCATCCATTGATAAACAGGTTGATTCCATTACTTGGCTATCATGAATACTGCTGCCTGCAGTGAACAAGGGAGTGCAGACATTTCTTTGACAAACAGGTTTTAAACTTTTGGGTAAATACCCAGAAATGCAGTTGCCAGATCATATGGTGATTCTATTTTTAGTGTTTTGAGGAACCTCCATATTGTTTTTAATAGTGGATGTACTAGTTTACATTCCCGCTAACAGTGTACAAGAGTTACCTTTTCTCCATATCCTTACCAACATTTATCTTTGGTATTTTTGATAATAGACATTCTGACCGATGTGAGATGACATCCTATTGTGGTTTTAATTTGCATTTCCTTAATGATTAATGATGTTGAGCTTTAAAATATATATATATATATATATCTCTTTTCTATTTTTGTGTCTTCTTTTGAAAAATGTACATTCAGTCCCATGACCCATTTTGTAAATCGGGTTTTCTATTTTCTTACTATTGAGTTTAGTTCCTTATATATTTTGTGTATTAAATCCTTGATGAATGTATGGCTTGTACATGTTTTCTCCTAATTCATAGGTTGTCTCTTCAAATTATTAATAGTTTCCTTTGCTGTGCAGAAACTTTTCAATTTTATGTAATCATACTTGTCTATTTTTACTTTTGTTGCCTGTGCTTTTGGGGTCAAATAAAAAAATTTTTTATCTATACCAATGCTGTGCAGCTTTTACTTTATGTTTTCTCCTAATAGTTTTACAGTTTCTGGTATTACCTTTAGATTTTAATGTGAGTTTAATTTTTGTAAATGGTGTGAGATAATGGTTCAATTTAATTCTTTGCTTGTGGGTATCCCATTTTCCTAACGCTATTCATTGAAGACTATCCTTTCCCCATTGTGTATTCTTAGCACCTTTGTTGAAAATCAATTGGCTATATAGGCGGGGTTCATGTCTGCATTTTCTGGCCTGTTCCATTGGTTGGTGTGTCTGCTTTTTTTTGCCAGTACCATGCTGTTTTAATTACTGTAGTTTTACAGTATAGTTTGAAATTGGGTAATAAGATGCCTACAGCATTGTTCTTTTTGTTGGTGATTGCCTTGGCTATTCGGGTTTTTTTTTTGTGTGTGTGTGTGGTTCCATATGAATTTAAAATTTTTGTATGTCTGTGGAAAGTGACATTGAAATTTTAATAGGATTGCATCGACACTATAGATTGCTTTGGGTAGTGTGGACATTTTTTTTTTTTTTTTTTTTTTTGTTGCTGATCGGTTTGCCAGTATTTCATGAGATTTTGGCCATCGGATGTTCATCAGGTCTATGGTCTAAAATTCTTCTTTTTTTGTTGTGTCTCTGCAGGGCCTTCTGGTATCAGTGTGACTGCTTGCCTCATAAATGAGTTGAGGGACAGGATCCCCTCTTTTTCTATGAATTGGAATAGTTTCAGAAGGGAATGGTACCAACTCCTCCTTGTACCTCTGTAGAATTCAGCTGGAATCCTATCTGGTCTGACTTTTTTTGCGTTGGTAGCTATTAATTATCACTCAATTTCAGAGCCTGCTATTGGTCTATTTCAGGGAATTTCACACTTCTTCCTGGTTTAGGTGCTTGGAAAAGAGTGTAAGTGTCCGAGAAATATCCTTTCTTCCTAGATTTTCCAGTTGTTATTTGCATAGAGGTGTTTATAGTGTTTCTCCTGATGTAGTTTGTATTTCTGTGGAGGTCGGTGGTGATATCCCCTTTCTATCATTTTCTATTGCGCGGGTCGATTTATTCTTCTCTCTTTTCTTCCTTTATTAGTCTTGCTAGTTGGTCTGTCTATTTTGTTGATCTTTTCAAAAAACAACTCCTGGATTCATTGATTTTTTGGAGGGTGTTTTTGTGGTCTCTATTCCTTCAG